CAAATATGTTGCTACCCAAAGCGAGGTCTTGTCGCGAGGAATAAACCTGTGAAATATGAAAGCCCTAGCAGCAACCATTGAATAGATATGGAAAAAGTTAAAAGTTTTTTTTTTAAAGTATGTCAAACATCAAGGTCAAGGTCAAAATTAATGGTGCCCAAGGAAAGGCCTTCTCCCAAGAAATACACAGGCGAAATTTGAAAGCCGAAGCACCAATCGTTCAAAAGTTATGACCAAGGTTATAGTTTTCCAATAGAGGTCAAACTCCAATGTTAAGGTCAAAGGGTCAAAGTTGTTGGTATCCAAAGAAAGGTCTTGTCACAAGGATTACATATGTAAGGCATGAAAGCCCTAGCACCAACCGTTCAAAAGATGTGGTCAAGGTTAAAGTTTTCCAAAAGTAGGTCAAACTCCAAGGTCAATGTCAAAGTTGTTGGTATCCAAAGAAAGGTCTTGTCACAAGGATTACACATGTGAAATATGAAAGCCCTAGCACCAATTGTTCAAAAGTTATGGCCAATGTTAAAGTTTTCCAAAAGAAGGTCAAACTCCAAGGTCAAGGTCAAATGGTCAAAGTTGTTAGTATCCAAAGAAAGGTCTTGTCACAAGGATTACATATGTGACGTATGAAGGCCTTAGTACCAACCGTTCAAACGTTATCGCCAAGGTTTAGTTTTTTCAAATGTAGGTCAAACTCCAAGGTCAAGGTCAAAGTTGTTGGTATCCAAAGGAAGGTCTTGTCACATGAATTATATACGTGAAGTATGAAAGCCCTAGCACCAATTGTTCAAAAGTTATGGCCAAGATTAAACTTTGGTAAAATTTTTCAAACCTGGGCCAAGGTCAAGGTCAAAAATGGTGGTACCCAAAGAAAGGTCTTGTCACAAGGAATACACATGTGAAATATGAAAGCTACAGCTCCAACCAATCAAAAGTTAAGGGCAAGGTTAAAGTTTTTGCGGACAGACAGCTAGACAGTTAGACAGACAGACGGACGGACAAAAACTTATATAGCCCCGAAACTTCGATACGGGGGCATAAAAATCAATATTAACAGGTGCTTTATGGGTAAGAGAATATTTGTCAAGAGGAAAAATGTGACGTTGCCGAGTCTTTTTGCTCTTTGGCATTTTATTACAAATTTACAAAATTAGGAGTTAAGGAAATCATATCCAAATTTCTTAAACAATTAAATATAAATCTATTTCGAATTCTTTTACATACTAGAATATGCATATAATTTTATATTTAAACCAACGTAAAATACATAAACTTTTGCTTTCAGTTTATCATGTCATTTAAAACCACATCAATACATCTGCCGATAAGTTACCTATAATTAATATTAGGTTTCAAAGATGCTTTGTCAATAAGACCATAATTAGAAGTTTGTTTTTAGATCATCATCCTGTTCAAAACAGCATAAAAACATCTGTTTATACCCAGCCTCTTTGTGAACCCGTTAACAGCCAAGAGGTCGCAGTCTGTTTTGTTTTTGTAATAATTGAGCCATTCGCCTTCACTGAATGTTACTACGTCATTTGCCTTTATAAAATGTAAGTGAATTTCATGTAAAGTTTCAACTAAGTGTAGAATATGGCCAAGCAAAAATACATCTTCGATTTGGACGAGTGACTCCGATTTGGTTATCTGGTACATTTTTGGTACCAAGTTTTGGAGAAATGAAGTTAACAAAAAAGCTAGAGTATGGAAATGGATAAACTGACAATCCTTGATATTGGTTTGGTGGAATATAGTAATCACTTTTGACATTGCGAAAAATCTTCATTGAATCCTTGAATAGATATTCCCAAAAATGAAGTTCTTTGCGTTTTGAAGTTCATATTGATAGGGTTTGAAGTAAAGAAAGAGATTCACAAATGCATTTTCCTCTGTTTTCAGTACAACCTTGGAGTTTGGACTATATTCTGACACCCACTTAAAACCCTTGAAAATCGAATGTCTAGGTATATCAGGAAAGTCACCTTGTATGATGTCTGAATGTATGATATTCTCCAGTTTCACTCTTTTTTGAATTTTAAGTTTTGTAGACTTTCCAATTACGTAAACTACACGCACAATAAAAGGACTGTAGAGAGACGAATTTAGCCAAGTTCTTCTCATTTCCATTCGCCTCTCAAAACTGTGTACTTTTGTATTGACCAACACAATGCATGATATCTGGTTGGGAAAACTGCATATGTGTTTATTGTTTATAAGATAATCAACTTCCGGTAATAAGTAGGGTAAATCTGTCATTGCTGCACTGTGATTCTTTAGAAACACAAAAATGAAGACGATAACGTAAAGGACAACAAGAGTAAAGACAAGTTTCATTACAATTCTTCTTTGATTCTTCGAACACTTTGCCATTTCCTTCTGGAATAAAATCAATGATTTTTTAAATGAATTGTTTCATTTGCCATTTAATATTTATACTGTCATTATTTTCTCAATATCAACTTAGAAATAATATACGTTCAGATTTGTATGGTTGAGTAAAACTGATCAGAAAAAAAAATTAATAAATATACTTTAAGATTATTATATTCTCTCTCGAATCAGCAGTTATGCCAATTTTTGTTTGTTTGTTTTTTGATAAATACAATGTAGTGATTTTTTTTTGTTTTTTGTATTTTGGCGGATTGCTTATTATTTTATTATTATACCATCTCTATGTAAATTAGAATTTTCACTGTAAGTGATAGGAATTTTTTAACGTGTAGATACAATTCTATGGTTCATTTAGAAAATTGAAAAATCTTTAACTGAATAATGAAGAGGACCACCTCATAAAATATTCTGACAATAATCATTCGGGTTCTGGCAAGCTCATTCTGAAAGATTCTTAGTATAATATTTTAACTAGATGTGCTTAATTGAGCCATAGCAGATTCTAACAAGATCCTTTTTCTTCCAAACATATAAATAAAAAAATTCATTAAGCAGTAACTTGTCCGGGAAAAAAGTCATATTTACCTTGTGTTATTAAAATGACATAAATCACGTCCAGCCTGATGCGAATACACTGTATTTGCTACATGTATTGGTGTATTAAAGTTACTACAAATATACAATCAACTGGATTATAGTTGTGGTTCGCTGAAATGCATCGATAAAATTAATAAATGGCCTGTTTATGCTCTTTAAAATATGATCGACAATTTACATTGTTGATTACAAAAAGAGTAAATTAAAAAGGTAACAGAGAAACAATAGTCTATGAAACACCTGTCATTATCATTTTTAAAAGGCTTCATTCAACATGAAAAACGTTCAGTATGAGGTCTCTTTAGAGTTTCTACTTTAATGCTGAACTATATGTTTTCTAAAATTATTTGCTCACATAAGCCTAAGACCAAAGGAGCCTTTTTTATTGAAGTTTGTACCATGTCTGTCGATTAACTTTTCACATTTTCCACTTTTTGAAAACCACAGGAAAATTTTAACAAATCTGCCATATATCATACTTTGGCAAAGGAATTTAGATTTGTTCAATTGAAGGGTTGCACCCCTTCCAAAGAGAGATAATAAGGAAATCATGGTCATAGTTTGAAGTCATCGTTTTCTTTTTCTACAGAACCCAAAATAGCCAGAAACAAGAAAGCATTAGGTTTAACAATAAAATGCTTTCTTTGGTTGTTAGTACGGGAATTAATGTCGCAGCTGTTGCAGAAAAAATACATTTTTAAAAAAAAAATTTCTGCAATAGCTGCGACATTAATTCCAGTACGAATAAACAAAGAAAGTCATTTTATTGTTTATATTTATATCTGAATAAAAAAAAACATTCAAAGTAAAATTAAACATGTTAAATATTGTATTATAGAAGTGTATGACATTGTATGTATAATTGATGGAACAGCCGTTGCTCAAGAAATCTATACAAGTGGCTTGCTTAATGTTGTTTACTCACAGATAAACGGCAATGGGTTTCTTAAAAAAATAAAGGAAATAATATTCAGTGGATGCAAATATTAATGTCTTAACGTCTTCTAGGACTTTTGACAGCTCCTATCCATACCGCGGTAGCAACGTTGTTCAATAATGATGTGAAAAAAAAAATGATTACCTTTTACCGACTGAACATCACCTTTATTCTAAGACTGATGTATAAGTTAATATCAAACTGACATTTTCCATTCTCATTTAAAAAGAAATAAATAAATGCACGGCATTGATACTAGTAACCAAAACAAATTATTTTCACAAATCATGTAGATGTATTTTCATTAATTGATAAAAATTTGGCACTTTGCAAAAAACAAAACAAAACAAACAAACAAAAAACAAACAAACAAACAAAAAAACAAAACAAAACAAACTTTTGCCAACTTTTAAAATTTTGAACTTCACTAATATATCTTTAAAAAGTCTAACCAAGCTAAAAAACCTAATTATATGTACACTGTAACTTTGTGTGAATTGGACTGAATTTATAAATCTCATCACAATGTTACAATTGTATACAGAGATTTACATAGAAAAAAAACAATAGTAAAAAAAATTAGAAAATCTCTTAGCATGAATGGAGATTGACAAAAATCACAGTAATAGATATTCATTACGATAACGGTGAGCATGTTTGACGAAATATCACATTTATAGGTATTCACTCTACGTTAGGGAGAACGTTTCAATAAAATTTTTATAAAGGTTTGCTCGTTTGAATTCATTATTTCTCTATACGTAATAGTATTTCTAAATTGTTCTTGCTTTACTTTTAAAGGTTGTTTTCTTTCATCCATTAGAGCTGTGCAAATTAATTTTTTGTATAGATTCCTTGGGAATGTGGAAAATACTGAGAGTGGAACGGCTGTAAAACATCATATTTTACCAGAGCATAAAATTCTTGTGGAGACTATACAGTAACTTTTCTAATGACCCTGTAAAATAGTGTGAATAAAAACTGTCTTCTGAGTAGAGTATTAGAGCAATACTCCTGTCTGACATGATTTACAGTGTCAAATATCCTTTCCTCACTTCATAATTATATACGACTAAGGAACGTTTGTATCAATCCATTTCCTCTCCTTCATACCATACATGGCAGTAGATGCCGGAGCGTGCTGTCCATCTCTCCCACGGACAAGCGCCTCTTTGACCTTGCGATAAGCTTTTTTCTTCTTGGCCTCGATTTCACGAATAATCTGCATCATTTTCCGTCGAACATTAACAACGATGAAAACAGCTATGGCGGACACGGTGAAACCGATCATCAGCAGGAAGTAGAATAAAATCTGATGCCACGTGTAGCAAAAGATATTGGATACAACACCTGTAGAGGTAAAGTAGTTTCTAAATTTAATTTTAGTTTAATTCTGAAATAATTTGGAAAATTGTTTCCTGTTTCACTATTAACCACAGGTGCTTGAGGACAGGACCCCCCCCCCCCCCCCCCCCCGATATAGACCTCCAGGCCTGTTCGACTTTTTTCTCATAAATTATATATTGATGACCCATCTGTGATATAATCTCTTTATCATCAATTCGGAAAATTGACTTAAACAAACATTTTATAAAGGTTACTACCCTACCCTATACATAAAAATTTATAATTGTTGGTATAAATTATATCACAAATATGTCATTGAAAGATAATTTATGAGAAAAAAAGTCGAAAAGGCCCGGAGGTCTATATCGGGGGGGGGGGGGGGGGTCCTGTCCTCAAGCACCTTTGCTAATAACAAAGGAGTAGTTACAATCAAGATAATCAATTTGATTTGTATTCATATTTGATTACTATATAATCTCTCATATAATGTGGATTAATTCTGCATTTTGATATAAGTTTCAAGACTGGACAACATGATACGTCTGTGTTGTGTTAAATTAAGAATTACATAATTTACACATATGTCATCTTACCTGGTATTCCAAAGCAGAAATCCTTCTTTTCGCACACATTGAAGTAGTATTGGGTCCATTTCATATCTAAAATGACACAAATGCTGTTTTATATCAAGTATAATTTAATTATGTGCAAATAAACTTAATCTTTTTCAGTTTTAATTATTTTTTTTATTCATTTATTTATCTGATATTCACTTACACTGAAAACTTGTGGGTGACATGCACAAGATATTTCCATATAAGTTAATATAATTTGAAGAAAGTGAATGCTGGAACCAGAGATCGTTACAGGTGCAGTCCCAGCTGATCTCCGACATATTAATGGAACTGAGAGAAGTCAAACCACTGAACAAGTCGAAGGAAACCTTGGTAAATTTGTTCCGTGAAAGGTTGATTGTCTGTACAGCGGTATTGGAGGAAAACATTCCACTGGTGAGATTGACAAGGTTTGCATTGTCCACTGTGATGGATACAACGGTGGTGAGGGGCGAGAAGAAATTGGTGGCCAAGTCCCCGGTGGTCAATTGGGCATTTTGAATTGTAAAACCTCCAATTGGATTTGGAACGTTGGCCAGTTTTTTGATCGTTAGACCAGCAAGACTTGATGCATCAGTTGAGGCGATGATCCCTCTGTCGATTTGAAGATAATCCAACTGCATTCCATTGAATACATTTGCTGGGATTCCGTTGTTTAGATTGCAGCCGGTTAGCCTTAATTCTTGAATGTATGTCATATCGGTAAACGAGTTTGTAGCAAGCCCAAGTGTTCCTCCTGTTGCGCAGAAAATCTCGAGAGAAGCTTTGTAGTTTGTATCAAACGTTGAAACATCATATGCACCAAATCCTGAGAAAACGCTTGAACTTACCAAATTACCATTGAAAAAAGTTATTTTCAGTCTTTGTGGATTTGGACTTGAAAAGGATCCTAGCGCCACTGGAAAGGTTGCATTTGTAAAGTCACAAGTGTACACACCTATTGGTTTTGTATATTCTTCGTAGGTACACCCAGTAGGATGTGTAGCTCCATAACACAGAGATTGAAGTGCCAAAAAACAAATTATTCTTAAAATCATTTTCCTTTCTGTCAAATTTTCTTAGCAAAGGAAGTCTTTCATTTAAAAGATGGGTTTCGAAGGCGATTTATTTTTTTTCACTGAGAATTCAATGACCGTGATCAATAAGGACCTCCCCTTTCGGTGTATATTTTAAAAGACCGAATTTAACATTCTTTCATAAATGTTTCTGATCATTATTTGCTTTTGAACTTAATATATAAAGTCATAAAAATAGTTGTTGACACAACAGATATTTGGCATGACAGAAGACTTAAACTACTTAGGGTGACTTCGATGTGACAAACTGCTCCCGGTCTTTCAAGAACATTTTAAATTGTAGTTTTATGTCATACGCATATATAAAATAATTGAAGAGTGTGAAATGAATTTAATAATGATCATTAAAAAGAACAGAATTGATCATTAATCAAGATAATTTAAAGCATATTTACCTCTTTTACTAACTGTGCTGGACAATGCGGACGATGAAGTTATAAAAAACTGTAATATTTATTTGCTTAAAACCTAGTGCATGCTTCAAATAAACTTACAAAAATTAAAAAAAAGCAGGATAAATGGCACTAAAAAAACTTATTATTTAAAAGTAAACAAAATAAGTATTTCGTTTGTTCACAAGGATACAATAATCGCCAAATTAAACATAACCCACATTGACACATCAAACCTAACTTATCGTGTATTTGATCATTTTCTTAATATGCCTTGATCTAATTCTTTATAAAAACACATAGCACGCAGGTATTATCTCATTGATGAACGGCGAATATTTAAACACCTGAATATAAGTATTGAAAGGTGAAGGTTCTAAGTCAAGTAACTATCGAAAGATGTGAGTCGAACGTTTAGCAATAGGGGAACTTTTTCAAGATAAATGACCATCATGTCTTTCTTACTACTTCTAATACTAGGACTTTCTATTGGAATAGTGTCGTCTGCAACTGCTCCCAGTGGATGTACCTATGATACATCCACGTCATCAATGGGACTCTATATATGTGATTTTGCCTCGATTACTCTTCCACTGGAATATGTGAATTTCAGCAACCCCGAACCTCAACGTTTGGTGATATATGACGTCACTGGAGACATTTCGGCATCACAACTCTTTAATGGTTTCAGCGCCTTCAACTATTCAGCTGTAAATGGAGACTACACAAATTATTTAGAAATTGGATGCAAAACAGGAGGGACGATACAAATATCCAGTACGACATTTACTGATCTGAACTTTATTAATGAATTAAAAATGGTTGGATGCAATTTCAACAATGGTCTTCCAAGCAGCGCGTTTTCTACATTTGTAGAATTAGATTCGTTGACAATAGAAGGCGGAGTAATAGCATCAACAGAGTCGGACACATTTTCTGGATTAAATATCACCAAGATGTCTGGGGTTCCCAATCCTCAAGGAAAGCTCACCATAAAAAACGCAAATGTGGGAACGAATTTCTCCTCTGGCTTCTTCGATCTTCTTCCAATGGTTAACGCCATTGACATCAGCGGTTGCGGGATCACGACCATCGATGCCAACACTTTTCTGTACAACAATAAAATTTCTTTACTGAATCTGGCGAATAGCAATTTTACAACTTTACCAAAGACATTTCTACAAAATATGACATCATTAGCGGAACTTGATATTTCTGGTATTATCTGGGATTGCTCTTGTGACAATCTCTGGTTTCTTGACCACTTTTCTGCGTACCGCATGCGAGTAAAAGGAAGCATTCTTTGTAGTGGCGGTCAAAGAGCAGCCCAGTATTTTGGCGAACAGTGTAGAAGCACAGACAACTGCAACAGTATACCAGGTAATGATCGAAATGGAAAGATCTCTTCTTTTTTTAATGTCGTTATAGTGTCTTTAATACCTTTGTTTTCCGTTTGATTTATAGGTATCGCCATAGGAATCGACTGTTTTGAATGGTATCAGATTATTTCATACGCTTTCACTTCTGTGTCTTTCGTGCTCGCCTGGATTGCCTTTGTGGTCGTCGTCATCTATCGCAGATCTATGTACAAGAATGAAAAGGAAATCGAAACTAGGAAAAGAGAGAAGGCCATCAGGGTCTTAGAGGCTCTGAAAAGAGGTGGTGGAGGGGGACAGAAGGCACCACCTAAAGCCAATATGACTTGGGCTGTCACGGATCAGTCAGAGAACACAGAAATCAAGAAGGCGCTTTAAATATTTATATTAATTTTGTGGATAATATTTTGAAATTATTTATTTACATATACAATAGAATTAAATAAAACTTCAGAAAAAAATGATGTTTCATGAAGAAAAAATCATTTTAATTGTTGTACAAGGAAAACAAGAACAAGTTTTGCCATATAAATCAATATGAAAATCTAATACATTTGTCTCATTGCTGTAATTATGTGATCTGTTGACAAAAGCTTTACATTTAATAGAAAAAGTTCAGTGACATGATATCCTGACAGAAGCTGCTGTTTTATCTCACAGTCACCTAGTCGCCATCCAATCATGTATGAGCTTTTTATGTTATGTAACATAAGATGAGGTCCATCGTCTCAGTCACGCAGCCGATCTCAGTCTCACTTATCAAAGGAATTGATAGAGGAAAAGTAAGACTGAGATCAGAAGTTAGCTCAACTAAGTTTCATGGCCCCAGGGCCAGGTCTCTCCTACTATGGGAGAGGATCGTTACATTTTGGCTGTGGTTTGCAACTATGTTGATAATCTGTAATAAACGTAAAAAAAACAACAACACGGATTTCAAATTATACTTACTAGAAACATAAAATGCTTGAAATACTTCGCACATCAGTACATAGATTGCATAACATCTAGTAAACCTTTGTTAAGGTACTAAGTAGACACTTTAAAGCACAAGGTACAGATGTGTGCCAGAAGTGAAGACAATTTTATTTTTTTTCTCTATATATTTCATTGAAAACAGCATTTTGTAAAATCACTGGAATGACGTTTCTTGACAGATTTTCCCACAAATTTTTTTGATAATCCAAGAAATTGTTTTATTTGATAAAAACAATACTTTTTATCTGATCAGCATTGGTATCAAAAAATTATCGTAATTTAAGTGCGTATCATATACGCACATTGAATTATATGGACAACATTAATCTTGAATTTCAGAACTGATGTAAATGATGAACCATTTTTTTTTTAAAAACTAAATTTGTAATAATCTTTATCCTCTCTTTTGGCACAGAACTGTACGTTCTAGGTTAAAAAATGACTTGGAAAACGTTTGAAATTCGGACGTTCGTGTGAGATGTAAAGAAGATGGACGAACAAGGCAAGCAAAATGCCTACAGTGCGACAAATAAGAAAGTGAAAATGAAATCTCCGTTATAACATACATGTAGTTTTCTTTGATATTTCATCTAGCATTATCATGTACATGTACTTAATGTAAAATCTCAACAATTCAAACAATTTCACAAAGATTGAAATGATTTCGTCTATTAAATAGCATAAACACATCAAAGAGGGAAAAATGAAAATTTCTTCATTCTATAACCTATTTTTTTCTATATCAGTCGGTCTTGGCTCCATTTTTTTGAAAATATATCCCCAACGTATGCATTCAAATATACATTTTTCCCCCCATTTTTCTGTTAACATGGAGAAAAGACCCACTAAATTTTAGAAATACACTTTTATGACACAACACTCGTACCTTACCGAGTAATAATTGGAAGTCCATTTAGTCAAGGGTCATATCACAAACATGATTTGAATGTCGGTACATGTATTAGTCGTGACTTGTGTAGCGTAATGGTTAACGTGTTAGTCTCTATATGAAAATAATACTTTTTAAAAAAGGATTTTTATTGCTTGGATTCGAATTCCAAGAATACCACATTTTAATTTTTTAGTCATATAATAATTCTGGCGAGAGAATTCCCACAGAAAAGTTTTGTTTGTCATTATTTCGTAAATTTCAATAAATTTACTCTAATTACGTAATTCACAAATTGGATATTTTTTAAAACCATTTTGAAGCTATGGGCATTTTACACACCTTGTTCGTCCATCCCCTTATTGGTGAATACACCAAAAGTATAATTCAAGTTGATAAAATGCGTTAACTCTGTGTATATGTAGTAATTTTAAACGAGTTTAATTGACATCACTTTTATTTTTATAAGTTCATATTTGTCATTTCGTTTTAGAAGCCTATAGCTGTATCTAAGCAAGGAATTTAAATCATACTTGAAATAACTGAAAAATCTTTATAACATCACTTCTGTTTGTTTCGGAATTATAACTGAAATGTTTGTAAATTTGTAATACACCTCTTGCAAAAAAGTTAGCATGCAAGGAATGCAATTATCTATTTGAAGCATTTTAGAGTAGTTTGTATTTAAGTTAGAAATACGTTACAAATTTTCTCATAAAAAAAAGTGACTTACTGATTATGATCCCCTACTGTCTGACATTATCTCAGATGTTGCCTCTCTATGAAAGTTCTTTTTTTCTTTTGGGTGATTTCTTATCATTATAAATGGACGTTTCAACCTCTAACCTCTAAAACTCTCTGTGCTCGACTTCATGGTGGTGATCCGCCATTTTGAGATTGTCTGATTGGTCTGGAAATAATAAATTTCCGGTTTTATTTGAAAATAACCACACATAACGTCTCTACTGTAGATACTTGTTTTTTTTTTATCACAGACAGAAGAAACTATCTGATATTTTGCAGATACGTTTTAATGCTTTCCTAACATTTGTCATTTTGTTAGAATCTTCAGCAGTATCTGGCTTTTTGTATTGCTGTCCTATACAGGGTGAGACTATTCTGTCACGTTTAAAAAGTCAAGAGTATCTTGAAGTTCAGGCTTTACTCAGTATCCAGACAGACAAGTTAGAAAGGAATACATCTGTCCAACTAAGTTCATCCTTTGGCTCCATCTACAACGCAGATCTTGTGCATGTATATATTTATATTTTAAACTTAAGTTTTGTTTTTTCATTTGCTTCTCATCTGAATTCATCTTGTTCATTGGTCTGAGTTGTCTCTCTTTAAGCAATAACCGTTAATTCCAAGAAGGAAGCAAACGGTCATAGACCGACGTTGGTAGAAGCAAATCATGTTCAGGACAACAGAAGAATATTTCGACGTTGGTTGAAGAATGTCATGTTCAAAAAGATGAAATGTATCCTATTAATCTAGTACGATAATTTCAGTACCAGATGTTTTATGATGTGTTGATTAAATTTAAAATTTTATGCATACACGTAGACGACAAGTGAAGATTCCTATAAGAGTCCTTCATACACTAATTTGATTTTTTTTTTCATTGAGAAAATGATATTGTATTGAGATATAATTAATGTGAATACTGAGTTTATCTATTTTATCTTCTGCGTGGGATACCATTTACTCCCATGAAAAAATGTTCGAAGAAAATGAAGTACTGGTGAACAGAAATTACTATTGATAAAATATGCTTAAATTGCGAAAAATATATTAAAAAGTTTATTAAAATCAATTTATTCTCGACGTAAAATATGCTAAAAATGTTTGAATTGATTATAAATTAAGAAATGCACTATAGAGCTAAGTTTATAATGGCTGATAATTCTAACGGCATTAAAACAATGTACGGTGTGTAGAGGGGTCCTGAAAAGTAAAGATATACTTTTTGTCAAAGGAATTTACACAATGAAGAGCATTTACTTTGACCTTTAATCAGGTGACATAATTTTTGGTCAAGGTCACTGTACTTTTTTACCTTAGGATAATTTATGGCGAAATCCACATTTTGGCCTTGGCTTCTGAGTTTGAATATTTTTCTTAAAGTCACTGCGCCTCAAATTTTGTTTATCTTGGAACAATCTAATGTTTGAAGCATGAATAAGAATGGGTAAATCGGAGGACGTAAAGGAATAGGAAAATGCTTAGGGGACAAAGAGGGACAGAGTTATTTTTACGGTTCACGTAATTGTTGCCTTAAGATGAAATGGAACTGAAATCGTGTAACTTGTAAAAGATGTCTGTATTAATAAAATTCCTACTTTATATCAGCTCTCATTTTTTTCGGATTAATTGGGGATCAGAGGCTGAAAGACTTCATAATTACTAATTCATTAATTTTTCTTAAAAAAATTATCTTTGTCTTTTTACTTTTTTCAGCCAATTATAATAAAAGGGAAATCAGTGACTAAAATTCCATTGTTTCATGATCACGAAACAGGTATAATTAAACTTGTTAATAACTATGAATATATTAATCATTTTTATTTAAGTGAAAGAATATGTGAGGCAAAATTAAATAATCTATGATTAACCTCAATATTTAATCAAAAGCTCCACAGCTCATAACTACCCTGAAAATTAAAGTCCATTTGATCGTTAATCTGTTTTTGGTTCGAAAAGGATTACCTGCTAGATGCAATAAGACGAGAATTGTTATTCGTGTTGGATTTTAAAAAATATATAACGACTGAAATTGGAAAGAACACAAGCAGAAGAGAACCATGTGAAACTCTAATTGAAGACTAACCATCGAACATGAGGAATTTTGTGTTTTTTGCATGTTCTCTGACTCTTTACTCTTGCCTGGTTAATGCTGCACAACCGACGGGATGCAGCTACAGCACTGAAACTGGATCACGTGGTCTGTACACCTGCGATTTTGCGGTAATGTCCCTGCCAGTAACCTACAGCGCCTTCACCAACCCAATACCCCAGCGTCTTAAGATAAGAAATATCAACGGCAACTTACCAGTGTCATCCCCAACCAAGTCCTTCAATGGATTCGGAAGCTATTCAACAGGCAGTCATGACTCGGACTTTACATCCTACCTGGAGCTCGAATGCTCCACCGGAAGTCCCTCGGGCCAAGCCATCATTTCAATGGGAACGTTTTCGCAGATGTCGTACCTTCAAGAGCTGCATATAAAAAACTGCAGGCTGACAAACGGTCTTCCGGAATATATATTTGCCGATTTCAAAAGTCTGAACATATTAACTATCGAGGGTGGTTCCATTGATGCAATAGCTGCAGATACTATGGCCGACTTCAACATCACTGTATCTACAACGCTAACCAAATCGAGAGGTATTCTGAACTTCACAAATGTCGCTATAGCAGGAGGATCGATTACCAGCGGATTTTTCTACCACCTGAAAACTGTAGACACCATTATTCTAGACAACAATGGTTTGACTACATTGGAAACCGCCATGTTTTCTCAGAATACCAGGCTCCAGCGACTCATTATCAGAAACAACCCTATCACGTCTTTCCCTAACAACATGTTTTCTGGTCTAGATTCTCTGTTGTACGTGGAACTGAGTGGGATGAGTCTGACATGTTCCTGTGAAAACGTCTGGTTCATCAAACACTTTCTTGACCACAACATCACTCTAGGGGATGGGGCCATTTGTTCAATGAGTACTAATGGTAAGGTTTTCAAAGTATGAAACGCATAGATGTATTTTTAGACAGGATGTATGTTTTCAATGTACCTTGTACCAGTAACCTTTCTGCATTATACGATATTGCTTCAAAAAAATGGAAAGAATTCTTTCTTCAGTAAAAAAGTTAGCTGTAATCATTGAAAAATTGTATTTCTACCTGCAGTAGTTAATGTTAGTGTCTGTTTTGCAAGAGATTGAAACTAATATAAAAGGCCTTTTATAAATTTTTTTTCAGCCAAGAATGCTGAGAAGTATTACTTTGAAAACTGTGTGACCTACGATATCTGCGATGGGATACCAGGTAACATACGTATTCACTCTATATGCTATCAAAGAAGTGTTAATCACCTGACAACAAAATATGTCTTCATTATTTATGTACAACTGATTTCAAATAATTTTCTGAACAATTATGTGTTTTTATAGGTCTCATCCTCGGAGACTCCTGTCACCACTGGTTCAGAATCCTCTTTGTCCTCCTGCTTATCATCGCTATAATCCTCACTATAATCGTCCTTATCCTCCTCATCCATACCCGGAAGAAGCTGATGTCAAAACACGACAAGCTCCGAGCCAAGCAGACGGAGAAATGGTCAAAGATACAACAGGTGCTTAACTCACAGGCGGTCACTAAGCAGAAGCCACCGGCAGCCACCCTACCACCAAAGGGTGTTGCAAGGTGACCACAACCGACAAGCGCTTTGGTGATGGTGATTGAGACATGACTCGATCAGTATCATTTTTTGTTTTACATACATTAACCGTTATAAACAGTTGAATTTCTTAATGTGCTTGTTGTGTTTGTATTGTTATTTTGTACATATTCGTATATGATTGTTGTTACTTATAGGAAGTACAAGCATTTGAATACATGTATGTCGAATTTATCAGGTTTGAATTTATATTGAAGGTTCGTTATTAAGAAATAAAATAAGGAGCAAACCTGAGGTCTTCAACAATCTATTTTTCTAATTATACAAGTTGAAAATTTTATTTTGTATTGATCATATTTATTTTTTGACAAAATTTCAAATGCAAGCACGTAGAATCGTTTTTGAAAGTGTACGTGTGTGTGGGGAAGGGCGAAAAAATATTTCACAAGTTACCTGAAAATTATTTCACAAGTTAAAAAAAAAAGAGATGGTCCACTCGAAAATCCTATTTCGGGGGAAAGGGGGGCCTGGGTTAGGTTCCAGATTTTTCACATTTTTTTAAATACTTAAGTATTGCATACCCATTGGACGATTTGACTATATTGCAACAAAAATTAGGGGGAGGGGGAGCTTTCAATTAAGATTAACAGCCCCCTCCCCCGATACTACGTGCGTGCATTGAACCGAGAACTTAAAATCATTTTAAGCTCATTAACTTTACTGCTAGCAAATACGACACAAATACTGTAAAGCTCGGTTATATCGAAGTCCTGAACACGGATTTACTTCGCTATATCCGCAATTTGTTAAGTCCGTATGACAAATTCGTAAAATCCTTACAGAAACTTTGGGTTATACATATTTTCCATCTTACGGCTACAGAATATGCTTATTTAAGTATCAAATACAAAAACCTAGTTGGAGAACTGAACTTTTTTGTATAATAAGATTTTAATTATAAATACTTACAACCAATAATATTTGTTAAATATTTTTAAATTTTAGGACCTAAAAAATCAGTCAGAAAAGAAGTTAATTTCATTATTTTTAACCTCTACGGGACACAAAATCAACTCGCTATTTGCATAAATTCACTATATCAGAATTCGTTATAACCACAATATTTTTAAATGGTTATTTATATTTTAATCCCCCCTAAGATAGAATCTTAAGCCGAAAAAAGTGAGGAAAAAATCGGGAATTCTTGCACTTTCAGTAGTGAAAATAGATTTCTGTCCAGTTTAACAATTAGTCGAAATGTCGTATAATGTCTGGTTAGTGAATATAAAATATATATCAATGCGACTGTGTCAATATATTGTCTAAAAAAAATTGTTCAATATTCAATTACTGACGTACAACTATGATTGTAAAAATTTTTAATTTAGATTCAATTTGTATATCAACAGTTTTACCTAAATTTAACCTCTACCAAACAGAAAAAAAAGATCTAGTCAAATGTTTTTGTAGATGCAAAAATTAGAATATTATGGTTGCTTCTACAAAAAATGCCTGAATCTAGAATGCAGCATTTATTGTACATTGATGGACAAATCCAAAGCTATCATCATTATCAATTCAGCTACAAAACTGATATGTAAAGAACGTATTGATCAAGTAGAATTTGAAAGTAAACATTTGACTCAATTTACAAGGAATGATTTCCTATTTACTAGAAGATTCACTTAAAATAGATAATTAGTATTATGTTTGCTATCAAGTGAAAAGTTTACTTTTAAAGAAAATAAACGAAAACTATAAAATATCAAAATGTGAATGTGGAAGTAGACATTTATAATATTCCGGAGAGAGAGAGAGAGAGAGAGAGAGAGAGAGAGAGAGAGAGTTTGATGGACGTCACTTCTTACATGGTCAGTAACGTTTTTTTAAACTAAATCAGAGAAATTTTGGTTCAAGAAATATCCTTTTTCTTCTATTCATGTGTTTCAATTAATTACCTTTTTTTCTAAGATTACATACATGTATATAATCAATGATCATGCATAGAAACATCTATGCATGAAATTACATAAAACCGATATAACATGTTTCGCTTGAATTTCCCCTGCTTTTATTTGTGCATATATATCGACATGATTTCAACTTTACAGTAGGAGTCTCTCAATTAATCTATAAACAATATTTGAAACAATTGGCAACTGTTACAGATCTCCTTTATTACAATGCAGTCAAATTATGTCTTAGTCGTTGAAAACATGAGGGTAGGTAAAACTGTTTTTAAAAAATGCTGTTTTACTTTTTACGAATAGAATGGCTTACTTTGATATAATTTAACTTTTCATTTTATCGATATAATACTGCAATTAACCACACTGACAATGATATTAAATTAATCATGCAAATTAATGTCTTCCAACATCCAAAATAATTTCTGTGAATGGATCCTCCTTTATTGAACTAGACATGATATCTTTCAAAATGTACTCTACTGAGATAAAATGAATTCATTTTTTTTTCAATTTAGATTTCAATTCATTAGAAAATGAAAAATATGAGTTAGCAATATATTTTGAGATACACTATAAGGCGTTGAAAATATGGTTGGAAACCAGACTTCTTAGGATTTTTCATAGTTTTAAAAGAAGAATTTAAGACGATCTAGATCGAATAAGACTTTTCTTCATATTTTTTCATGACTATAAAAATTACAAAGAATCAAACTGAATATAAATTATAAAGTAAGTGGACGAAAAACTATTATGCTGACTAAATGGACAAAAGGAAAATACGGTTAATTAACTTGGCTGATATCTGTGAAAAATACATCCTGTTTGAAGAGTAGAATAGTTCGGTAGCCGGTTGGAAGAATAAAACTGGGTACTGCGTCTTAAACCAAAAAAAGGGTTATCAAATAATGTTCAAACTGTTTAAGCAGAATTAACTAAAATTAGAAATCACTTCTGAAAGTATTTACTGCGCTGATAAAAGTAAAAAAAAAGTACGTGCATTTAACTCATTGTATGGGGTCTTTACAATGTAATGTAGGAAATACGTTGTATCAATATTGTTTTGGAGATTGTCAAAGTGTTTACTGCAATAGTGTTATGAATATAGGAAAATAAAAACCAAAGACATAATAGGGATAGGCTGAAATGACCAATATTTCGTTCTTTCCAAGGAAAATATTTTCCCTCTTACCCATTCTTCATAAAATTCTCCGGATTAGTGAACTTGAACAGGTTTCAAGAGATTAAATTTAAATCGTGTTCATGATCACGTTGAAATATTGATCCAAATTTAAATAGGAGATTACGAAAAAATCTATGCCTCGCATTCTCTGCAACAATTGTGTTTTACTTCAAGTAATACGATTATTACAAAAGCTGGCTTTGGGAGACGAACTAATAAGGTCAGGGGAAAAGTGTACACTCTAGAACAGTCACATTTATATATATGAAGAGACTTTACAGATAATATGTGACAGAAAGAGACTTAGAAAAACAAAGAGAAAATTAGTAAAGAGTGAGATTTTTCAAAATGGCTTTTGGAAATTGCGCTCTGTTTTTCTTTTGGTCTTTAATAATTGTAGTGAATGGAGCGAATTTTCCGACCGGATGTTCATACCATGATGAAGTGGACTCAGTTCATCTTTACAAGTGTACGTTTGGTTCCGTCACTTTACCTCTAACATACAGTACGTTCAGCGACCCTCTACCACAATGGATTCAAATAACCAAAATCAACGGGAACATGAATGCAGGATCTTTTACTGGATTTGGATCCTATGACACGACAAAACTAAGCCACGACAAAAACCCAACACTTCAGCTCTTCTGCACTACAGGAGGTTCGTTAAATTTACAATCTACATCCTTCAACACTTTAGGATACATCCAAGAAGTCGAAATTTCAAATTGTAATGTCAATCTTCCCGCCAACGTCTTCTCGCCGTTTGGAACCCTGAACAGATTGACGATTAGCGGAGGGACCTTGACTCTGAATGCTGCTACATTTGAGGGACTGACAATAGCACCGATTGACAAGTATGCCGACGCCGCTGGAGAACTTACAATCAAAGATCTGACCCTCAGTGGAGGGTTCCCAGCCAACGTTTTTACACCCATAAATCAAACAAGATCCATCCGCGTTGAAAATGTTGGACTGACATCCATTGCTGAAACAGTGTTTTCGTCCAACACTGGTTTACACTCGCTCTCTTTGAAGGGCAACTCTATAGTCGATACTATCCCCACTACCTTCTTCAAAGGACTTGATGGTTTGGTAATTTTTGACCAGACCTCTTTCCAGTGGACATGTACGTGCGATAACGTGTGGTGGTGGCCGAAAGCAAGTTTGAAAAATATCACGATTCAAGGTGCTGCCATCTGCAGCGGCCCTGCTGACGTTGCTGGTGAGTAACTTTCTTTGTTAAAACAGAGATGTTTATTTATATTTCTTGTCTGTTGAAATCATATTCATAGCTACTTTTACATTAATAGAATCCTTTTTCCAGTACTAACAATCTTTTTAATGTCCATTTTAGGCACACTTGTTGGGAAGTATTATGATCAGAACTGCGTGACAAGTAGCGTATGTGGAGACACCATGGGTAAGATACTTTGAAGATTAGATTCGCTGATGACCAGTTGCTAGAAATCGCTGGCAAAACTGTAACCCAGCTTTAGAAAACATCATAGATGTTTTGATACCAAACAAATATTATTTGAAATACAGAATAAAGCATTGTCAGAATTAACTACTGCATGGTTCTTCTTTCAAGACATCTTCCAGTACATCTTTTATAGCGTACATTTCTTTCTCTTCCAGGTGTGGCTATCGGTTCCACTTGCCTCCCCTTAGGACATCTTGTCGGGTTCGGTCTTATATTTGTGATGCTAATTATATGTATTGTATCACTTGCTTGTATCTTACACATGAGGAAAAATGCTCTGGCTGGACCAGTCAAAAAGACGAGGAAGGGACCCCCACCACCAGGTGCCAAAAAGGGTGGGGGCGGCGGCGGGGGTGGTGAAAAGAAACAAAGAAGGGGGAGTGGATGGGTCTGAACTGACATTTATGTGATGCTTAAACTCCTGGAAAAATGAACTATTGAACAAAAGACTTCAACTGACCATAATGTAAATAAAATATTGATTGTACCACAAACCTCATGCTGTTTTGTATGAAATTGTCAGATGTCATACATTCTATGAAATCCACCCGGTTGCCTAAATTGTTATCACTGTTAAATGTACTCTTTAACATCCAGCCAAAACTTTATCAAATTGTTTTTCTTTGATTACTAGTATACATGTTTTTTGTTCAACTTTGTTTTTAAATTTTAATTCTTACAAACACAGAATTAATCAGATTGGAGCAGTTTTGAAGAACTTTTTTCCGCCATTCCAGTTACAATTCTATAAAGTATACAGTATATAAATATTGCGAATGTTTGCTTAACATTCACTCACTGTTTCTGTTCTATGAAGAAAAATCATACTTCTCTGATGCCCTTCGTTCGTATTCTGCCCTTCGGCAGTGGCTTCACCAATGGCAAGAAAGATAGCCTTAACTTGAACATCTGATTACTTGATTACCAAATTGCAGACTTTCTGTTCTTCGGAAGTTTTTCACGGACGAATGTCAAATCTTAGGAAGCTTACCTTTGTCCCATCACATCTCCGGAGAAAATTATTTCGGGGTCGGGACTTTTTACTACAATCTATCTACATTTGTCCATAATTTGACAAGTTATTGAAAATAGCTGGAGTCTTTCAAGGCAAACAGTTATAATTAGAGGATAGACAAATTTCTAAATAAAATTTTCTGAATACTAATAAACATTTCCTGGTAGGTAATGAGGCATAGACACTTGCATTACCATTTTGTTTACAAATTTGAATTTCTCTGTTAAAAAAACCCCAATAACTTCAATTTAATGAATTAAACTTACATGAAATTCTTTATATTCAGTATTAATCTGGCAACAAGTACCTGTGTTTGAGTTCCGTTATTGTTAATTCGGTGTGTTCGATTTGCCAACACTGCACACATCACTTACCACGAAAATTGACAACAATGATGTGTTGGTTCTGCTTTCTTATATTTCTGGATAAAATTTCAATTATTTTATTAATACCACAGATTCCCCACTGATAAATTGTAGTCGTGGCAGTACAAGGGTGCATGGCAATCTAACACTCGAGAATTTCGTAGTTTTGATAATTTTTTAGAGTTTAATACAAAATACAAGAGAAAATACAACTTTCTAATCGTGCTTTTTGAATTGATATTACTAACAATCAATTCAGTGTATATATATACTACTAGTTATTATCTACCAAAAGTAGAGAATGAAGAGTAATAAATTCAAGATTAACGCACACTTTGCTAAGATGTATGTTAGAGGAACATAGACATGCAGCTTTAAAGTTTATATCTTTCAGTTTTCGGTAGAATTTTCATAAATTGCATTTTGCAATATAGTATTTTTCATTATGATTCACAAAATTTTAAGACATTGAAGACATTTACGAGGTCTGTCCGGAAATCATTAAAAGATAAATTCATAAAAGTCACAAAAATTCTACCAAGAACAAATGATACAACTTATAACATTCTAGGAACCGAACAGGTACAAATTCTCTCCATTTTAACCCCATCCCCTTTTTACAATGCTGTGTGCTTTTGATATCCCAAAAAAACCCCTTAATATCTCTTACAGTTGGACGTGCGTCATTCGGACTGGTGACGTAAATTCGTCCGTAATAACTGGTGGTCCTTCAGTTCCTTTGCTTTCCATGGCCGTAGGAACCGGGGGCACAATAATTTTGCCGATATATAGATTACTATAGTAAACATAGATACTATATGCTTGTGCCCCCTCAATAAAAACGTCTGATGACCTTAAATCAACAAGAAACTAGAGGCCTGGACACTTTGTGTTTGTTTTAGAAGGTTCTTTGAATAGTTCTACTCAACTCATCACAAAAATTAATGTATTCCCGCTGCTCCGTCTTGACGTCAAAAACCATTTTAACGTCATAATCAGATCTCCTTAGACTAATGAAAAATCTTTTTCATATCTATATTTCTATTTAAAAAAAAATCTATCAAACTTACATAAAATAGAGTCAAGATAAAGATCAAAATATAATGTGTTTAATTTCATGAATTTTTGTATATTCTCTGGGTCAACCAGGACTTAGTGTGCAGAATTTTCAAAAATCCAACAATCGATTTCGAGGGTTGGCCGGGTACCTTGAGTGAGAATATGAGTTATTTTATTTCATTTCAAATTCTTACATCATTCTTCTTGCAATATCTATGTTATGCACTATATATTTCAAGGAATCTTTGCGGGTGAAGCAACTTTAAAAAAATAAATGAAGTACATGTCGTTATGTTTTCAGATTCATCAATTTTCAAAAAAGGAATAATTTCCATCTCAAATAATATCTCAATTCTAAATCATTCATTCTTATATATATATATATATATATATATATATATATATATATATATATATATATATATATATATATATATATATATATATATATATATATATATTAGGGATGTCAAATCGGTCAATTTTTGATAATCGGTTACTCGGACGTTTTTCCGATCGAGTACCCGGGTACTCGGTAAAAATATAGATACAAGTGCGTTAATTTTCTTGAGCCCTATTAAGCTATGTTAAACTCCAAAGCTGTTTTTATCACGTCTATAAATGTATATAAACATCGAGTCCAACGGGGATGATTTTTTGGTACTACATTTATTTATCAAATGAACACAAAAGACACAATTAATAGATCAAAAATTTAAAAAAAATTGTTTACAGTTCTTTTTGAGATCTGTTTCATCAACTCAAAAGGAAGACAATCTGTTACGCAGGTTTGTGATGATTAGACTAGCGAAAGAAAAGGAACGGACGTTGTTTGGATTGCTAGTCTAATATTATTTCATATGTTGGTTGTTTCCCCCGTATATACTAAACTAATTACGCAAACTGACTTTCAATATCTTTTGAATCTTTAATTATTTCTAAATAATTCTCAACCTTTGAAGTGGGTACCAGCATGTCCGATTTCGCTCCTGTATATTAACTTGAAAATTTTAAAATGATTTGAAGATAATAGACCATATTTAAACGATGTTCACTGAAAACAATCATTGAATCCATCCAAAAATTAAAGACCACAATAGCTGTGTAGCAGGTGATTGGTCACTAATTACTGTATACACACTGCCACAGGCGATAACGGGTGTTTTACAGGTGTAAATGACGACATGCTAATTACCGTATGCATATTAAAGTTATTTTTTGGGATAAGTTTTTGATAAAAATATGTACTTTGAAATAAGAAAAAATACACATCCGAGTAACCGAGTACCATTTTTAGTATTTGATACTCGGACGTTCGATCGAGTACCCGGTTAACCGGGTACTCGTTGACATCCCTAATATATATATATATATATATATATATATATATATATATATATATATATATATATATATATATATATATATATATATATATATACAAGATATGTATTCTTTAAAGTAAAGAAATTATTTTATGACATTTTATTTTCTTTTTTGAGTTATGTCTTAAAATTAACTTGAAGTTTTGCAATTTCAGATTTAAAAAAGAAATTGATGCGAAATTCTTTTGAATCGTCTCGATATACTTTCACACTTGATATAAATGCCCAGTTCCAAAACATAATCCCAAATTTCTTGTAAAAATATTGAGAGCAATTTAATCGTTTTACTTTGTGTTCGATCATGGAGATTATTGAACTTACATTTGAAGATTAGCCTAAAATGAAGTGAAATATTGGCACTGGTTTGTGCTCTCAGATTGAGGTTAAAGGGAACTTTACACGAAGAAAGAAAGCGCGGAAAGCAGACCAGCTAAAATGGCGGCTGGGAAGTGGTTCTGCCTTTTCCTAGGTTTCTTAACATTTACCATCACCCAAGGAAATCCCGGAACATGCTCGGAAAAAACGGGAAACTACGATAGCGTCCGTCCTGTTCGGTGTACACTTCCTGGAGGTGGAACACTGTCCAACACATTTTCTACGTTCTCATGGCAGAGACTGGAGATGATCGAGTACCAGACTGGTGTCCAATCGAGTCAGTTTTCGGGATTTTCTTCAGCCTCTACCGCCTCTTTTGATTCTTCCTATCCACATTCACTCACCATTATCTGTAAACCTGGGATTACCTCTTTCACTGTTGCTGCCAATGCATTTTCTCAGTTTCCCACTCTTCAGGTGTTAGAGTTTCAGGAGTGTCCGATCACGTCAATTCCTGCAAACGCCTTCCCCAATCACTTCTTGGATCATTTAATTTTCACTGGCGGGAAAATAGACTCTATTGATGCTAATGCTTTTAGTGGTCTTAACATAAGCAGACTCTCTATTCCTGGGGCTGTTGGTGGTATAACTATCAACAGTGCTCTCACCGCAGGCCTTCCAGAAACAGTATTCGATAGCCTTACGTCCATGGAATCTCTAGCCGTTAATGGCGCTAATTTGAACACCATCACTGTCGGCCACATTGGAAGTCTGGCTAACCTCAAATATTTGAGTCTAAAAGACAACCTGATTACTAACATAACTACCGGCATCTTTACCAATATGAAGAGTCTGTCTTATGTGGATCTAGCGAATAACAAGTTTACCTGTACGTGTAGCGATCTGTGGTTCCTCCAATACACAGCTGAGAACCACATCAATCTGCTGGGAGGGCCTCTGTGTGGAACCCCCGCCTCTCACGACAGTAAGTTATCAGTTGTCAGGAATGAAATGCTTTTATTTGTAAAGAGATCTGATATGTAAAGCAGTTATCAATTTTTTAATGTGTTTTCAGCAAAGAGGGTGACGGTGTACTACTCAGAGATCTGTGCTACTGAGGACGTGTGTGGTGATACAGTTGGTGAGTAATATGACGTATACATTATATATAAAAATATAGAATACACGAGTTCAAACAAGAGTCATTGAATACAAATTCTGATATTTTAATTGTCGAAAAAGATCAAAGGAAAATGATTTTCTCTGGACTATAAAGAAATGGTAGATCTATATATATTTTTGGCTTTTTAGGACTGGCTATGGGTAGTAGCTGTATGCCACTATACCAACTGATGAGCTTCATCTTGCTTTTAATCATCCTCGTCCTCTCCTGCTTGGCACTTGGCTGTATCTGTAAGACTCGGAAAGAACTCACAAGGGTACAGAGAAGAATGAAGAACAAACGGGCCAGCTCTTGGAATAGGGTACAGGAAGCTATGAAACAACGGAGCGGAGCAAAACAAAAACCTCCAGTCGGCAAAAACGGATGGATCTAAAACAAGAATGAATAAGATTATTCTTTTTTATTATCATTATGAACTCATGTGAATGTTGTATGATTAATCTAATATTTTCATGAATAAGCAATTGTTTCTTTTGGTTTTGATAACCGATTGTTAATCATATTTCTCGTGTTCGTTTTGTTGTTTGTTGTCACTAAAATGATCATGTTTTTCTGCTTTGCTTATTTTTTAATATAAATTGTTACAACTCATTTCAATTGTTATGAAATACAGGATTCTTGTATAAATCGTTTTCATGATGTATATTTGTCCTGTTAGATTTTTTACCCGATAATGTGAATGTGAACGCAGTAAATGAATGGACGAACGTTAATTCTTTAAGCCTGACGATAAAAACAGTGGTTAAGAAAAGCTACTACAACTATAAGACATCTAGAACAGATGCTAGAATAGGAAATTAGGAATGGTTCTCAAAGACTTTTTTCGGCGCTGGTAATTTAGATATCATTACAAATGTTTCATACGCTTTATTAAAGAAGTTACAGTAGACTTATTGGTAAATGATACAACAGAGTTAGTTGCCGATGAAAGAATTCATTAGAGATGATACATTTGACTTCTTAGGATGTGATGCAGTTCTTATAAAGTGATAAAAGTAAATCTTATACATCGACGTCTTGGGAGGTGATTCGATTGACTTCTTCCTTCTTGAGAAGTCAACAAATGATGAAGCATTGTTATTTGGAGAGGAACAGTAGATTATTATGAGATGATACATGCAGTAGAGTCCATAACAGATGATACATGTACATGAATTCATTAGATTTAGATATATCGAAAGATGACACAGAAGAGATATTACAGATTATAGAGTAGAGTTCATCTTGGGAAGAGATGCAATTGGCTTAATGGGAGATGATATAGTAGGCCTACTGGGAGATGATATAGAAGTGTTCAATACATGTGATAGAGTTCATTAGAGATGATACATTTGACTTTCTGAGAGCTAATTCGGATGACTAATTGGGAGTTGATAACGTCCAGTTCGTTATAGATGATGCAGTTAAATTTTTTGGAGGTCATAAGGTTTTCTTCCCATTCGAGAATTTTTCACTCATATAGAGACGTCACCATATACCGGTGAAGGGCTTCAAATTTTGACCTTTACTCGGCACTCAGGGCCATTGAGCAGTGAAGGATCTTTATCGTGCCAACGCCTGCCGTGACACGGGGCCTCGGTTTTTAAGGTCTCATCCGAAGGACCCGCAACTTTCACTTCAAAGTACCGAGCGCATGGCGAAGGAACAGTTGCTACCCATTTTTTATCGACTTAGGTCCGAGATTCGAACTCACGACCTCCCCATCACGGAGCGAGCGCTCTACCGACTGAGCTACCGTGAACGGTTTATTGGAGATGATAGAGTTCATAAAAGATAATACACCTAATTTCCTGAGGGGGGGGGGGGTTAAACAGTTCACTACTTGGGAGATGATTGAAATCATTAGAGATGATACATTAAACTTTCTGGGAGCCGATACAGTTTATCTAGAGAGATGATAAAATATGGGTTCAATAGAGATAATTTATTTGTCTTCTTTGGGGGTGATTTTAAAACTGATTGGGAAATGAACATGAATGCTTATAACAGATGATAAAGAAGAATTTATCAAAGATAATATACAATTTACTTTTTGGTGCTGATACAATAGATGTCATTTCAGATGACACATTTAACGTCTTGGAAGGTGGTACAGATGTTCGTTACAGATGGAGGATGAAGTAGAGTTGATGGAAGGGTTCACAACAGATGATAGAGTAATTAAGAAATATACAGATTTCTTAGAAGATACAGTGGTGATTAGATGCTTCTTTGAACAGCCTTTTCATTGGGTTGAATTGTTTATGTAAGAACTATAAAAGAATAATACAAATACAGTCCTTGCAAGTTTGAATTTTATATCGAGTGGCGAGGACGTCCCATTTCAAGAAGCATGATAGGTTTTGAGAATTCCTGACATTTTTTTTTTAAATTTAATTTGATAAGAGGAAAAAGTACCAGGATCCCTGTTTTATATATTCGGCCATTTATTTTCATAGGTCTTTGTTTCTCGGGCTGCATCTACCATCATGAGTGGGTACATGTATAGCAAACGGATACTGTAAAACATGCACATGGCACATAAATTTTGCATTACGACTCATAAATTTTGAATTCGGTTTCCTGTAATTTCGCATTTTGAGGCATAAATTTCGGGTCAGTTTTCGGAAGTGTTTGCGATACTTAGCCATACAACAAAATTTTTGCATATAAACACGATCGTTGTTTTATAGCTTTTGCTTGATGCAAATCTTTGTTACAAATACATGTTTATCAGTGTATATAGTAGCAAAAGTATATATTAATATACCGGCATTACATACTACTAGTAAATAAGTACCGTTCATCAGTTTTAAACTAAGCTATTTTGTTTTGCAGTTGTGATTTTCTTTTAAGTGAAATTGATAATGATATATTACCATCCCTAAATTAATTTCATTCTCTGGTGTGCTAATCATTGATTTCGCATTTAGAACTAGATTATCTCTAATTTTTTGTTTAAATCCCCTGTGTAATCCAAAAAGCAATCTAATCACGACTGACCTACTCAGTCCAGAGTCTCAATAATCTCTTATGAAAATGCATAATCCTTTATACTTCTTGAGAAAGTTCATATATGCTTGCGTTTTTAATAGCTTAAATTAAGTAGGTTATGGATTAGGTTTGGTCTTAGGCCATGCGTTTAATTAACAATGTGAAGGACAACTTTTATACCATGTAGGAAACAGCTAGCACAAATAAAACATGTCCGTCAAAATGGCGGACAAACTTTTGATAGCTGTTTGTATATCGTTATTTCCTTGGGTAAGGGCGAACCCCACAGGCTGTGTGGCGAAGCCCGGAAACCTGGATTCCACCATACCGACTCAGTGTACCTATGGGTCATTCTCAACGCCTTTGTCTCATTCTTCCTTTACAACCCTGTCATGGCAGAGACTGGAGTTTGTGGAATATCAGAGCTCATTTCAATCCAGTCAGTTTACAGGATTTTCAAGTGCTTCAACTTCCGGATTTAGTCCTAAATTTCCTCATACAATAACTATCAAATGCAAATCAGGAATTTCTACCTTTTCTTTCGGTGCCAATGCGTTTTCGCAGTTTCCAAACGCACAAGAAGTAGCTATTATAAACTGTCCCATCACATCCTTCCCAGCCTCCGTATTTAACGGATTGACCTTGAGTAAGCTGACCATTCAAGGCGGGAAAATAACCTCAATAAACGCGGGAACGTTCACAGGACTGACAATCTCCAAAATGAACATCACGGCAGAGGAGAGTGGAATCATCATAAGGGATTGTCCAATCACAGGTACCCTACCCGACGGCCTGTTTGGGTCGCTACCATCTTTGGAATACCTTATCATGGAGAGAACCAGTCTAGATTATATTGCACCAACCACATTCACCAACTTGACTAGTCTTCACTATCTTAGCTTGGCTAATAACGACTTGACAAATATTACTTCGGGAATCTTCGATGAGCTACGAGCACTCACTGAGGTTAATATGGAGGGAAACAATTGGGCATGTTCTTGTGACAATCTCTGGTTCCTAGATTACAGCATTCAACAGAATCTCAGGCTTAGTGGTGGCCCACTTTGTGACACACCTACAGAATATAATTGTAAGAAACTTCAATATTTCTGTTTACTTGTGATAAATGATATGCAATATTTTCATTCCTTTGCAGTTTTCTAGAACATTTTATGTTATTTAGATAAGAAGGCAACAAAGTACTGGAATGAAGTCTGTCCAAAGTCCAACGCTTGTGAACCCAATTTAGGTAAGGCAATGCTAAAAGCCTTCATTTATTTCAAAATCAACTTCTATGTCTATATCAACGAAGCGTCCTCTTATTTTTATTTTTCCACAACCATATGTTAGCAAGAATGATGTGTCAACTAAAAATCATTACTTAGACATTCAAAAAGGTTATAATTTATATTTTATCCAGGTGTCGTTATGGGTTCAGCTACATGCATTCTGATGGTGGACTTGATATGCTATGGTATTGTAGTCATCACAATCGTCATATCTACCATCGCCCTGATAATCATCTGCAAGGTTCGCAAGGACTTAAAAGATGTCCAAAATAGGCTGAAAAACAAGAGGGCCACTTCATGGGGACGGGTGCAGGAGATGATGAAAAAGAAGGAAGCAGGCGGAGGAGGGGCTTCACAGAAACCCCCGTTCCCAACGAAAACTGGATGGGAATAAGATTAAGGGTCTAACGAGCTCTGACATATCTTCCACGTTTTAAGTATCTTGCCTTTGTTTTGTATTTATCCGTGGTTATGTATGTCAAAATCTTTCCAAGTTCTAAACGTTAAGAATAGCATTAATACTAGGCGTTTCATTTTGTGAGAGCTACCTAAACGTTCATTAGGTATCTATTGTAGAGTAATGTATATACACGTCTTTTTTTCAGATGCCATTTTTTGATATATGGTATGATGTTATGATATTGATACTTTCATGGAAACTTTTATATGTATGATGCTGGTTAAATTATTTAATTATTTTGTTACATTGATTTTTACCTTTGTGCACTAGTTCACTTATGTTAATAATGTTAATGTATTATACTCAATAAAATCATTGAAAATATGTTATATTGATAATTTCTTAGTAATACTTGTCGGAAGATGGAGGTGGGCGTTCCTATTTCTTTTCCATACTAGTATGTTCAATGACATTTAGGAGATAAAAAAATATTTCATTGATTTTTTTTTGTTTCTCTCATTCAATAACGGAACAAGTTCAAATATTCATAAATGGAATTTCATCAACACCAGTCAATGTTCAAAGGGAACTTTTTGATTGGTCTGATCCTGCTTTGTAAGCCTAGATTTAAAAAAAAAATATGTCAGTATATATTATCTTCCTGAAACATGCCTAAAAGCTTTACCAGATTAACTTCGAAATGGGAGTTTATTAAAATTACCAGAAATCTTCCTTATTATCAGTGATTTAAACTATATGAGGTCTGCAAAAAAAATTTCTATTGTGCTCAAAAATCATTAAATACGCAGACCCGAAACCCAAAATTGAAGTAAAGAAAACTATGGCCCAACCACTACCTTACCGGGTCAATTGAAATACTTATGTTTTCAATATAAGATTATCCACATGTCATAATGAGGTATTTGTTTCCAATTATAGCTTAAACTCTTGAGTGCTGATCGTAATGAGGCTTAGGAGTTAAATGTATGTCAGGCTACTGGGTCGCTGTTTGCTTTTGTTTTCTTGCTTTCATGGAGATTCAGACTATAAAGAACGTAGAAGACCTCACACCTTAAATGTCCTTTCTGAGCACAAACCTGTAATCCACTTATAATTCAAAGGGATTTAGGACCTGTTCCATAGTCAGAAAAACTGAATACAAACAATAAAATGTTTCCTCTGAAGAATTTTTATTGTCTTTGTTTTTTAAAGGTGTGTCTTGCTGAAAATAGTGGACACATCGCAATACTTTGAGCATATTCCAACATTTTAAAACTTTGAAGAACTGGACACTCAGTATGTGTGTTTTGAAGTTTCTACTAAAAAATGGAAATGTAAAAAATGTTTAGATTTCTTTAATTTCTGCTTGTATTCTTAACATCTATCAATTGTGTTCCCCTTCTTTTTCAGAGGAAGCCATGCAAGTATTTTGTACTTGGGTTTAATTTATGAATTTTTAATTTAAGAAATATTCAAGCCGCAATGCATATTAATTTTACAATTATACTGTGCCAACAATTTCTGTAATCGTTGGAATAAACAGGTTAAATGTCTTTCTTATTTTTCAATCTTCTTAGTCTTTATCCGTGAAAACCGTGTTCCATATTTAAGAATTTAAATCAATAAGAATTATAAACTTTTGAGTGTGATCTACCTTTGCAGTGTTTAATGATTTCACGGATCACTGGATACAAGAACATTTCAAGTTAATATTGAAAGACCTTTCTGGGCAAATTCACGGCCATTTTCATTCCACTGGATTTTGGAGATAAAAATATCTTCAATGTAATTTCTGAAAGACAGAGGAAAAAACTGGACAATTATGTCTCTAATTTCTGTCCTCGTGGTCTTAGCTGTGTGTTCGAGGGTGTACGGTAATCCACAGGGTTGTAGTTACGACTCCTCACAGCTCCTACACACATGTAACGCCAGAGCTTGGTCCCTCCCTTTGGCCTTCGGAACATTCTCGCCCCAGCCCCAGAGGATTTTGTTGAGGGAAGTTGATGGAGAGCTCCCAAACGGTACCCCGACCGGACCTACGTTTTCGGGATTTTCCTCCATCAGTACTGCGAGTTTTGATTCCAATTATGCCCCGGAACTGATCATTAGATGCACCTCTAACGGACAACTTATCATCACTCAAGCTGCCTTTGCGGACATGGGTTGGGTAGAGGAGCTGACGATTGAAGATTGCGATATTTTATCACTTCCTGTTCAAGTATTTTCAAATTTTGGGAATTTGAACCGATTTGCGATTATTGGAGGATCAATCGACGCTATGGTTGGAGACAGCTTTACAGGGATGAATGTTGAAAAAATGACCACGGTACCGGACCCCCGGGGAGAATTTGTTATTAAGAACAGTCGCCTAGTTTCAGGAGGATTTGCTTTTGGTGCCCTTTTTTCACAATCAAATGTAACTAGTGTTATAATCGAAAATGCCAACCTAAAATCTATTCAAACAGATATGTTCTACGCTCTTCAGAAGATGACATATCTTTCTTTGAGCAATAACCCCTTCACATATCTCCCAACGGACTTGTTCAAAGGCATCAACTCCCTAACGACTGTTGAACTATACGGCATCCCCTGGGCATGCACTTGCACCAATATCTGGCCCCCATCCTGGCTAGAGAGCAACAACATAACCATGAACGGAGACGCCGTCTGTGGATCTCCTACAGCATATGAAAGTAAGATTTTTGATCATCATAACCTGTACTTTGGGTTATTTCCATCAATCAAAGACACAGGAAGTGCTATAATCTATACTATATTCTTTTATTCCAGATGTAAAAATGTCCTTATATGATAAAGAACAGTGCCCACAACCAGATGCATGTGAAAAAGCTGGTCAAACAGGTATTGTCCTCAATTTCCCAGAACATATTATGCATATAAACAAACAATCTCCCAAAATTACTGTAAATAATGGTAATCAACTTCTATTCACTTGATAAGACAATTAATTATACTGTTATGAAGAGAATCGAAATATGCGATATTTTACGAATGTTCCGACACGTGTTTACCGCTATTTTGATTCTTTTTCCAGGATTTGTTGTGGGTAGCATATGTATGACGATTTTGGATATCGTGAATTACGCTCTGTTGTTCGCCACGTTCGTCCTATCCCTTGTGGCGTTGGGGTTGGTCATCCACACCAAGCGACAAGTAGGTAGTGCCAAGGACTCTAAACAGAAAGGCAAACCTAACGCCAAAGGTTCAGGGCTCAGGCGCTCTAGTACCAGCTGGAATAAGGTCGACGATGCTCAGAATGTTCCGACCTAGATTAAAGAATATTTTCAATTTGACTCACTAAGTTTTTTATCTTTCCCATATCGTGGATGGTTTGGATGACTGTTTGGCGTCTTTGGCTCGCTGTAGATCATTTCTCTTTCATTATGAAAGAATATTTTGTATTTTGTATGGCGTCTGAATTGTTGTGATTAACACACAGAGGTTTTGTAAATAGCTGCACTGGTATTTAATTTGGTTGATAATTTACATAAAGCGAAAAATAAAAGTATTCCTTTTGTGCCAAACAACAATGTGAATGGTCATTATTTTATTTCTAACTTTTGGTGTTGTTTATAAGTAAAATTTCTATATATCTAATTATCGTCTGTGATATTTTCTTATCATACATCATTAAATTGATAAAAAAAAAATCTGTGTTTCTATGTTTTTCCCCGAATCGTCAAGGTACTACAATGCATATATACAGTTCAGTACATATGTAGGTACCCATGGAAATGTTATTAGGAAACCACTGATTTTGTTTTCATATTAGAATACCTTCTTTTTTTAAGTTGCAATGTGAAATGATTTAGCAAAATTAATTACAGAAATTTGGCTTTCACCATGCATTCAGTTTTGTCATCTTGAAGGAAGAATTAATGTGACTTAATATCAATGATTAAAACTGTTCTTAAACAATCTATTTAATCCTATTCAATTCAAAAAGACTGAAATTTTAATCAACATAGAGAAACTGAAATTAAAAAAAAATATATGTGAGGCATTAAATATTGAAATGTATTTCACTGCTCATTTTATCAGTGGATGCTCTTTCGTCTTATCCGTGTGTCCTTTATCATACATTCGTTGACGAATATTGAATATACTTCTTCTATTCAATTTAGTCCTTCCTCTATTAATATTTAAGATAAGTCTTACCTATTTTTTGATAGGTGGAACTTCTACTTCTTGAAACCAACCTAGCCATGCAGGAGCCTATGTTTCACCTTCTGGGAGGCTGAAATATCCCATCATGAAATTTCTTATCTTCTACGCCACGTCCCCATCAGTGTACTAGAATTAAATTCATACACTGTCTTCAAGTGCCAATATATAAATTGCAATTAGTGTATATTATTTATTTTGCAATTTTCTAGACGTGTGTTAGTCGTCCAGTATAAATTATGTAAAGGTGCAACCTTGTTTAATATATAAATATAATCTACATAGAAATACTGGCGCTTCGGTTTAACAAATGATGTTAGCTGAGAATCTTACACGAAATAGTTGAGATATCATAATCTTCGCATCAATAAAATGAATTTTAAACACAAATAGTACATGTACTTTGAAAGTTCAAATAAATTGAAAACTTCAGTCTTCAAACATGTGTACAAAAGGTGGTACTACACTTTCAATAGTCATAGTAATGCCTTTTTAAAAAGACTGAAAAACGCCTTTTTTACGCGTTATTACACCTTTTTGCTTTATTAAGCTTCTCCTCCCCCGTAGTTTGATTCTAATAGGTGAACTCTTAAAGGAGCTATCTTCACTTGCAATTTGTAGTTTTCATAGATCTTGAATCTTAACTTATTATGGTGTACTGATAAGGGGAGACAACAAGGATCTGAGGAGACTGTCGGAGAAGGCGAAGTGCGATAAGGCGAGGACGAGGGAACAACATTTATTGAATGTGATGGTGATGCTCATTTCGTTTCCTCGCAATTTTGCTTTCTTGCGTTCTCCTTCCTGATATTTAATCAAAGTGTTCTCATTCTAGGGGCAAGGGTTCAGGTTGCCTTCGTCAGAATCCGATAAAATATCTTAAAAACAATGTAAAATTTTAATTTTTTTCACATCGGATCAAAATTTCTATTTGTAGTATCTTTTCTTTTGACCATGTTATCTTGAAATCAGTATCATTTAACGAGAATATAGTATCTTAAATTTTTCTATAGTGTTTATTTATTTTTATAATATTTATATTAAAAGGTTACCTGCAGTTGCGTTCTATTTTTTTTGATATGCCGAAGATCACGGTAAAATAAAACAAAAAATGAAATCTACGCAAAACTAACGGAGGCATTAGGGAAGCATCCTATTTCCCGCCTGAGTGATTCAGTTTTCGGACCTTGACCGGTGTGACGCCAATACTGAAGTAAATGTTTCGACCATTTAGAATGCTTTAAGAAAACATTGGATTTACGATGAAGTTTGATTTTGAAGTTTAATTTTTTAGTGTTTTTTTTATGGTAGCTTTTTGAATATTCACCTCTTTCTCTCGAATTTTTAAAATAGTGTCTTGAATTTTCGAGTTGCTATCTTAATTTCAAGCTGTTATTTTAATTTTCTATGAAAAGATGCTGAATTCTAAAACAGTATTTCGTGGCCACGAAAAAAAAAACATTCGTGGGAACGAAATAAAAATTCGATGCCAAGTTTTTTTGTTTTTTTTTTTTCTAGAGTATACTTTGTGTTGTAAAGTAAATATGAAATGGGTTCAGCACTCTTGAATTCTACCCAGGCAAAAAAATAAATAAATAAATAAATAAATAAATAAATAAATAAAAAAAAAGAAGAAGAAGAAGAAAAAGAAAAGATTTTGGTTGATATAAATATACACTGACCTGATAAAAAATCTAAAACTCATACTAGACCTTTTAATATTAGCTTTTTATCCATTGTGAACAAACAAGTTTTGTACTAAACAAAATCATTATAAACATTCTTAGATTAGTATTTAATCAATAAATATTTAAAAAGACTAGAACTTTGTAACCTATCAATAAATCATCTGCATCAAAGTCACATGATGTATCTATCATAATACATGTACTATAAAACTTCATCAATAATGTTCAAACTATAATAGCTTATACTTAACGCGCAAACATAATAATGAAACAAAAACATTAATTTTATAATGTGCATTTGTCATTTGAATCAATTATCAATATAGTGTAACTGCTGCCTGTAGCTAACAATTTTTTGCAATATAAATATATATGTAGCTAGTCACACACTAACAATATGGTCAAAGAGAGATAACTCCATTACCTGTACTAGTATTTAAACTACAACTTCCTTTTATCCCATGTTTACCCCTTTATCCCGTGGATATGACTCATTGGATATTTTTTTCATAACCCACAGTTAAGTGCAGTTGTGACGTCACAATGGTTTTTGCGTTAGCATGATGAAGTAAAATAAAGTGGAGTCCAATATAAAACAGTGTAAAACATTGGTTGTGAAGTATTAAACATGAGATAAAAAGAATCTCCCATGATTTGTAGTTGGATATGACTTTTATCCAACTCGTTGTGTGTTTTTTATCCCCTCGCCAAGGCTCGGGGATAAAAAACACATAACTTGTTGGATAAAAATTAAAAATGGAAAGATGTTGCTTTTTACACTTGCAAAAATTTTGTATGAAGACCCACTCTACATAAAAAATTAAGTTAACTAACTTAAATTTTCACCCTGATCTTAAAAAATTCTCTTTCTAAATCTTTTTTGCCGTCACATTTTGTCTTTCTCAATGCTGTTCAATACAAGTGTTGAAGCGTATAGTAGAGGAGCGAAAATACAAACTACGAAACTGTCTAATTTTAATTAGATTGAACACTCTCTATAGAATTTGAAATAAAAGATCTCAGAAAATTGACAACAATGAGGTAAATTTGTATATTTCATGGAACAATTGTGTCACATCACATGAGTAACCTCATGTGAAAATTGGATGACAAATATTTGTATCAAATATTTCATCTCCGATAGACTCACTGTAGAATTACAACATTGTATTTTAAGGTTGCACCACTTGGTCATACCATTACTTACGAAAACAACGACAATTTATTCAAAGAAAGCAACGAGTGGAGATCTTCCTGAGAAAAAAATTAGTCTACAGAATTTCTTGGATTCAACAAGTGAAAAACAAGAAAATCTTTAAAGGAATATTCATTTAATTCATTAGTAGGGTTTTGAGATTAAATGCAAAATCAACACTATATTCTATCCATTTCTCGCATCAGTTCTCTTATACATCTTCTGAAGAAATGTCATTTATAAATTCATAGAAGTCCCCCTCTGCGTTCATGTTTTTTATCTGTCAGTCAAGATCACAGGTTCCTGAGTAACATGACTATATATGTATAATTTCGCGTTATAACGCGAAAGTTTCGCGTTTATTTGCGAAAGTTAAGCGTTTATTCGCGAAAGTTACACGTTATAACGCGAAAGTTACGCGTTATAACGCGAAAGTTACGCGTTTATTCGCGAAAGTTTCGCGTTATAACGCGAAAAATAGATTTTTTTTACCTACGAAAATGAGCTCAATGGGTTTTCGTAATATCTCTATGTTTTCCCAAATAAGTTATGTTTTACATATACGGATTTGGAGGGGGGGGGGGTCGGTGGGAGGGGGGTCCGGACCACCCCCTGAAATTTGTAGTTATTTAATGTATATACTAAACCAATTTAAAGTGACCTTGAACCCCGCCCTAGAAAACGCGGATCCGTGTTAAGTGGATATGAAAAGTCATAAATATGAAGCATAAGATATCAACCCCCCCCCCCCCCCCGGCCGAAATAGGTTTTTCACGTTCAGGAAAGGAGTTTACGTTTTTGTTTTTTTTTTTCTTGTCAAGAAAATCCTGGGTTGGATTTTTTTTACTGGGGTGGACCCCTCCTGGAAAAAATTCCTGGATCCGCGCCTGGTTTTATGAAAATTCACATAAATATCAATATAAATATGAAAATTTATTCAAATATGTGTGGCGGTTGGCAGTAAGCAGTGAGCAGTTGGCAGTAAGTAGTGAGCAGTTGGCAGTAAGCAGTTGGCTGTTGTATATGGAATTCCATAAAAATTTGGAATTTTCATTTCTTTTTAAAATATGTTTGTCTAGCATATTCATTGTAGCTGTGACTTGTTTTTTGAATATATTATCCATAGGTTCGAAAATATTCGCAAATATTGTGTTTCATTTTCATAGATAATTTTTTAGTAAAAAAATTAAAATGTCCAGATTGCTTTTGTTTACATATTTTAT